CAAGGTCAAGGTCATCGGAGGTGCTTCCCCTAAACTGCATAATTACCACATTTTCTTCAGATACTTATATATTTGATTTTCTCGAATTTTTTTTACGTAAACATATTAACTTTTTTATTCAGAAACTTTTACATGATATTAATATATGTTTGACAAACTTTTTGTATTTTTTTTAGTAGAAAATAATAGTTATATATTTATAAAAATAAATTTTTTTTTAGTTTATCAGAAAAAATGATGTACAGCCCTCTACATTTTTGTGCGTACTTTAATCGTGTAAAAGGATTTTCCATTCTGTTCAGCCAATTCAAAGATATTGCTTAGACCGATTATGCCAGTGTCGCTGTCACTCCAGGATCCCCTTAAGACCGTGCTTTCAGCCAATCAACTACGTTTCTCTTAGGAACGAATTCAAAAAATCGAGCTCCAGCGATAGAAAACAAACCTCTTGAACAGTTGAACTCGAGTGCAATAGCCAATACGAGAAGCGAGTTTTTATCGAGGTTGATATATGTGCGGTGTTACGTCACGATTATTGGACAAATCGATATAAACCGCGATATAACTCTGTTCTTTTCTTCTTCCAGCACTACTACCTCGGCGTAGTGGAAAGAAGCCTCTCCTTTGTTATTTCGGGAAAGTCTGCATGCACCGACTATATCCCGGGACTGGCGAGAGGTGTCGTTGTCGGAACGGTGCGTGGAAAAGGAAAAGAGAATAATCAGATTTTATTTCAAGACCGTCTTAAGTAATATTTTAAGATGCTAATACGGCTCTGTGATTGGTTAATGACATCTTAAGATTGTACTTAAGATGGTCTTAAATATAAGAACCGACTATGAATACCGGCCTTAATCTTATTCTACAATGAGGGTGTATCGCACAGGAGCAATTGGGAACATTTATTTGTATCTTTATTTTGTAGCCGGGAACCGGCTGGTGTTTTGTGACACGAATTTTAAGGAATAAATTATTATTGAATTTACTCGTTGCACAATGTTAATTTTTAGTAGTAGATAAGGGAGGAACGGAAAAAGGGTAATTTATGATGCTTGCGAAGCTAGAGATTAATACTGCAGTATTAATTATTAATAATTATTATTAATTATTAATTATTATTATTATTATTATTATTAATTATTATTAATTCAATCGGGTTTGATACAATCTCCTGAATCTCCACAAGTTATAGGCGTGAGGAATACAAGTTTCGCTTGATTATTAAAATTAGACTTACTATTATCGCTGGCTGTTATGGGAAGAGCGCCTCCTAATGCGTCAATCGACCCTCGAGAATCGGAAGGGTCCAACCTCGTCACTCAGTCGGAGCAGTTTCGAGTAGTGGTTCGACAATTAATAAAGACAAATGCGTAATGAACTTCATGCGTAAAAAGAAGGACCTCGCTCCGGCTGAGTACGTATTTTTATAGTGACCGATTTGAATGCTGGCT